TTAAATTTAAAAAATAATAATATAGAAATCTGTTATTATAAATTGTAATAATATTTCACAATATCATTGTCTTTTCTGTATTATTGATAAATACAATGATCAAAATACAGTGAGCATGAGACATCTTTAAAAAACATTTAAAAATCCTACCGAACCCAAACTTTTCAACAGTAGTCCATATGAAATAAACAAAATATTACAAAAAATGTGGTGATGATCATGAGAACTCCTTTGTGTGAGTCAATTTTTATTAATGGCCCAAAACAGTTTAGCATTTTTCATATGCATCTTACAGCAGTCCAATATGTCCAGTGTTATCTTGCTAATTCTCCCCACGTTGCTGTTCAGTTCTTAAGTATTCATGGACTCCCGACTGTTTCAGATTTAAACACCAACTTTATAGGACATGATCCCAGCTCAGTTTGTCTTTCTGTGTTTATTAACTGAATGAGCTTATATTTATCTTATGACAATGCTTTTTTTGTTCCTGCCATAGCTCTCCTCTCCCCCTCCCTGGAGAGCGTGGGTGGCGTACTTCTGCCAGCCTGGCTTCGGCTCAGGACTTATTTTATTCACACTTTTAATCACTGAGTGCCTTATTATTAGGTATAGGAATTCCTCTGACCAGGGGATTGTCTTGAGAAGCCTCAGAAATACATTTAGTGCAATCATATTAGCTGCTCGCTAAAATATATCCATCAGGCAGTTCTTAACCTCCTGCTAGGCCGGTCTTCTGGTGGTCCTTATTGGTGCCTGAGGAGAGGAGAAAGTGATCTCCATCACCTACAGCAGGCCACTCTAGTATAATTCAAAGTAATCTTTTCCTCCTTGGACAGTCAACATATTTCAATCTAAATAATGTTTAGATTCATACAGCAGCAGAATATGTGTGTAAGCTTTGCTTAATAAAGTGTATATACATTTATGAACTGATAATTGCATTATTTAACCAAACTGACTCTCTTAAATGTCCAGGCCTCACACCTGCATTTATTCTGTGTGAACGGAAACACACTGGACAACAATGCAATAGCCTCTCTGCACTGTAATGGTCAACACACAAGACAAACATGTAGTCTTGTGTGTGTTGCTTTTTTGGTTGGTTGGAGTAACTCGCAAAGTTGGAGATATGAGCTGTGTGTCATCAGGTTTTAGATTGAGTTGCTGTCTGTGTGGTCTGGGCTTAACCCAAAGTCTGGGCTTATTGTTGTCAGATCTCACTAGAAAAACATTCAACTGGGTCTGACAAAACAAGCCCAAAATAACTCACTTCAACAAATAAGCCCAAGTACACGACTACTTTCTGGAAATAAGACTAAAAACATTCAAATCTGTCACTGCCCATATTTATACATGAAACAGCCCTAATACACATATAAGTGAACATGGCAACATTGACTGTGATATACTTGGTTAAAAAAAGAAAAAAATCCAGTTGTAAAGTGTTAACTGTAAGACTTTCTGGTCTTGTATAAGTCATCGTCTTTGATATTTGTTTTTGTCACTCACTATCGTCGCAGGTGTTATTCATCACTGTCTGTCATATGAATAGAAAAGGCTTGCCTGCAGTTGTTTGTAATTAGAAGAATTTAATCATGGCTGTTAACGGCTCTGCACCACCTTTTTTTACATTTTATTTTGTTTAGTCACTTGTTTCATGTAACATATTGGCTTAGTGTCAGCAGTGTGGCCTAGCAGTTAAGACGTGCTCTCTGTGGCCACCATGTGGAATTTATAGGTTTGATTCCAGTCTTGTAATGTTCTCTGTAAGAAAAAAAAACGGCCTAAAAAGTTCAGTTTAGTTCTATGTAGATTTGTAGCCCATACATGTGACTTTACGAAATATTAGCTATTCTGTTTGCAATAATGCACTTAACAAGCAGTAAAACATCACTGTGTCTGAAAGGAAAACCAGTGTACAGCTGGATTTCTTCTTCAATATAAATTAACTCTAGCGTCTGTCAGATTTTACCTCGTCCTCCCTTTCCTTTAATCACTGCACTAATAAAACGCTAACCACTTAGTGGAGAATTAGTCGAGTGTGTTTAGCAGGAGCAGTGTAGGATTTGAGTAGCAGTAACTCTGCTTATTAACTCAAGGCTATCAGACACCGCCTTTGCACTGAAATCGGAAAGACTTTTCCAGATGTTCGCTGTTGCGTTTTTATTAGCACCAGGGAAAAGGCATGTCAATCCAGCATGCTTCCACATATACACACACACGCACACTGTTGGGGACGAAATGAAGACATTTTTGACAGGTTTTGTTTATCCAGTCATTTAGACACGACACTTTACTGTATCTCCGCGTGCTTTTATCTTGTCCACCAAGCCTGTGAGCAGTTGAGTGGAAATTTACATTAGTGGACGATTATGAATACCTGTGACAGATCCTCTCTCTAGACTCCCAGGCTGCAAATGAATGGTCTCCTACTGTTGACTCGCATGGGAAGACAGGGATCAGGCAATTAGGCTTTAGTAGTTAATGTAGAAGCTTCTGCAGGCAGGGCAAGCAGGTTCAACTTTCCTGCTGGGCTGTCTGCAGGTTTTTTCCATCTCAGCTCTCTCCCTTGCTCACTTTTTATCTCGACTTCTTTGGAAGGTATCACTTATGACAGCTAACCTGTTGATAAGCCCTTAGAGTTTATCTGAGGGTGAGGATGAAGGCGGGCCCCTCTGCATGGGGTCCCAAAAGTGGAAGCGACTACAGCGGGATGCTGCTCGTATTCAACCTTCACAAGCTATAATACGATTTTCAGCCTGAATCTGAATAAGGAGTTAAAGAGTTTCAGCCATCTCCTTCAATAGTGTGACTAAATTTGTAATGAATTAATAAAGAAAGACCCAGATGTGTGCACTGTTGTTGTTGAGCCTGCGTGGTTTGTTGTCCAAGTGCTCTGTGCATTTAGCACGATTCTCATATCCCTGGTGGCTGTGTGTGTGTGTGTGTGTGTGTGTGTGTGTGCAGGCATGTGTGAAAGTGAACCTAGCATGGGAGTGGCAGTAGGTAGACTGCCCCCAGAGCACCATGTCTGGCCACTGGCTGATTTGACAGGAACATGCTGGTACTGTACTACAGCTAAAGTAAGGCCTGCAGGCCCCGGCTAACTTAAGTCGAACATATTATCTCTAACAAGCCTCCAGCATGCCATGTAAACGCAAGCCTGTTGTTCTGTGTAGGTGCAATCGTACAAGCTCTATCTTGTGACCTTCAAATGAAACAGGACTAACTCGGGCACAATTGTTGTTGCATCGCTCCAAAACAGCTTGAGGTTGCAGCATCCAGCGTAGACAGAATTAATCATAATGGGTTTTATTGGCTTTTGATGCGTCACGTGCGGTGTAGTAACGGGTGTAAAAATTCTGATTTATTGATTTACATTGAGGTTACATAGATGATTGTGCTGATTTTATTATGAAAATACACTGATGTAGTGCAAATATTAATATTTTGATTATATACTGTACTAATTTATTTGGTCACACTTTAGTTTGGGGACCAATTCTCACTATTAACTAACTATTAACTACGACTTTTGCCTCAATAAACTCCTAATTTGCTGCTCATTAATAGTTAGTACGGTAGTTGTTTGGGGTAGGATTAAAGGATCTAAAATATGGTCATGCAGAACAAGGCATGCTTTATAAGTACTAATAAACAGCCAATATGCTATATGCATGCTAATAAGCAACTATTTAATGGTGAGAGTTGGTCTCTAAACTAAAGTGTTACTTACCATTTATTTTATATTTAAAAATAATATATGTAATATTTTTATATTTTATAATTTTCATATTTTAGTTCTTATTATGTTTACAGATTAATTGTACAGAATATATCAGTGATAGACCATTATATTGACCAATATATTATTTTTGAGATTATCATCATGTGCCTCTTTCCCATTGTATAATGCACATTTTCTGTTTTTCAAATATTTTTATTTATTGTGTGTACACAAACAGAAAAAAATAATATTCCGCATAACTATGAAGATGAAGGTAATTGAAATCTGAAGGTTATCTAAATCAGCTAATAGAAGGTATACCAAATATTAACCAATGCCACTGAAAATGTCTGATTCATGGTACCAATATACCGTGCTTCCATGGTTTTCTTCGAATACATGCATTAGTTATTTGTAGCAGAACTGATTAAATGTTCTGACATAAATACACAACCTGCTTACATTTAGATGTTATGTTACAGATTGGTTGAATTGTAATGTGCAGACTGCATTTTTATAATAATGTTTCCTCCAAATGTTTCCTCTTGTTTTACAGTCGTCCCTGTGAGTGTCGTCTTATTATTTCTCAGGCTCATTAAGTTGCCGCTAGCTGGGTTTAAATTCAGCCGTCCAATTAGCAGCGTGCTGTGCAGTGCTGTGCTGTGGGTGTCGCGCACCTAATTCTCTTCTGGAATTCTGAAGGATTATTCATCTTTTTTCTACCAGGAGTCTACACAGTCTCTTTCTGCAGTGGTAAAACGCTACAACCGGCCCTCCAGCAGCCGTGTTGGTGTGCTATCAGTCAGGCAGCAGGAATGCATCGCAGTCAGGAAGCATTTGAAATGCAGTACATCAGAGCAGTGTGGAGGACCACTCCTGTCAGATGCTCTGTTCTGTCACATCCAAATTACACACCACCAGCACAGTGTTAATCGATGCAAATGGATTTTGAAACTATTAAAATCTCCTATACTACACCACCCAGATGCTGTCACAGGCACCTTTATGAGGTGCTGGAAGGTCTTGTGGGATGCTCAGATACAGCTTTGCACTACAGTTTTCTTGTAATGATGAGGTTTAGAGTCCCTGTGTCAAGTCTTTCTATTTTCTTAAGAGTTTATTTCCCATGTAAACTCTTAGAAATGCATATTAGAGGTAATGCATATGTGTGTGTGTGTGTGTGGGGGCAGCATTGCCAACTGTGCTGTTTGTGATTCTCATACCCTGTTTGATCCCCTCTCTGTCTCTCTCTATCTCTCGCTGTCTTTATTAGATATTTGTGTTGACAGTGTGGCTTTGGGAGCTGTTCATGTTGCCTCTCTTCCTCCTTCTGCTCATTGGCTGGAACTACTTCCACATCACACCAGGCATGGCCAGCTACAGTCAGGACTTGGTGAGTGCTGTGATGTCGCCCACTCAGCTGTACAGGAAATGGTCTCTAATAAGTCAGAGTCAATACTGGTGACTCACAGGATTAAGAAATAAGCATACATTTTTAAACCTTACAGATTCTATTGATGAATGATTACAGATTAATCTGTCTACAGTAGACAATGTATGTTGTCATTTGTATTTTTTCACAACCAAACATGAACAATATATGATGCAATACACTAAAAAAAAGTAATACTGTGACATATTATTACAATTTAAAATAACTACTTTAAAATGCAATTTATTCCTGTGATGGCAAAGACGAGATTTCAGCAGTCATTACTCCAGTCTTCAGTGTCACATGATCCTTCACAAATCATTCATTCATGCAGATTTTGTGAAAGAAATATGCTGTATATATATATATATTTTTTTTTTAAACATCTTTACTGTCACTTTTGATCAATTTAATGCATTTCTGAATAAAAGTATTACTTGGTATTAAAAAAACGTACTGACCCCAAACTTTTGAACAGTAGTGTATTATATAATATTACATTCACAATAATAAAACAAAAATGACTGTATATTACACTATTATGTTATATTATTACATGGCTACTTGTCAAACAAACAAACAAAAAAAATAGTCATGAAGTATTAATTTAAATTGAAATTATTTCATTATGTAACAAGAATGAGAATGGGGTGACATAAAACAAGCACCGGATATACACCTTGTATATTAAACCATCATCTGAATTTTGCTGATTGACCATTCAGAATGAAGTATTCTGGGTCATTAGGTGCAATTTATATCCCATTACTAGACTAAAAACAGTCAGCTTTTTACAGCATTTCTAAAGACATTAATTGGTCAGTCTATCATAATTAGATCATGTTGTCTATTAATTCAACATTCACAAAGGTTAAGATGTCTAAGATGCTCCAATCACCCTTGGTTGTGAGTTTTAACATAGCAGTCACACTTTGAGTGACCTTCATCTCCAGTGGGTTGTATAAAGCACATTTGAGTCCTTACTCAGAATGTAGCAGTTCTTTGTACACCACCAACCCGTCTCAGTGCCATATCTCAGGCTCAGGTGGGGCTGCGCTCTCTGACAGTGTTAAAGCCAGCATCACCTCATGCTCACCCCTCGGCCTAGCAGAAACAGAGCGCCACGGTTACATTCAATAGCCTCGAAGGGTAAGGGATGACTTGATAGAGAGCGATCCCGAACGGCTGAGATTAAATGCTTTCCTTTTGGTTTCAGGTGCATGTGTGAGTGTGTTGTACGTGTTTATGTTGTGAAGAAATGAGATTGCTTGGTTGTGACATCGCTCTTGTGAGGAAGGCCCCTTTCATTCACCTCCTTCTTTTGTGCGAGGTCACCCGAGAGGCAGTTGCTACGGCAACGGGGCCTCTCCCAATGGGGGTGTATATACAAGCGAAGGTTTCATTACGAGGTGTTTGTTAAGAAAATGCTCCATTGCCCACATGTCTCAATCTCATCCGTTCTCTCTCTCTCTCTCTCTCTCTCTCTCTTTCCTTCTTTTGCAGGAGAACATGTCCGTGGCCGAGGACGAGGATGAGGATGAAAAGGTATTTCACTGGTGTCATGCATGGTTTTTGATTAACCGCTGACTTTTATAGAGCCTGTACTTGGGGTGCTGCATATGTAGATGGACTGCACGCTGTTCCTTTAATACTGCATTTAACTCAGAACTTCAACTTAAATACGTTCAAATTGAGGACAGACGATTCAGCAAGCACATTTTTCCTCCAGTACTTTCACACCAGTCCTCTGGGAATTCTCGCTCATACGACAAATGGATTTGGTTGCTTTGCTGTGGTCACGCAGAAACGCAGAAATAAGCACAGAACGGCATCATTAATTGAAGTTTGCCTTCCGCTGGGGTATAGAGGCATTATAAGGATTTTGAGGCAGGCATGGCTAAATAGGGAGGCTCGACTGCAGTTGAACTCCCCCTTTTAGCATTTTATTTTTTAATGCTTAAGGTAAGTCATTAGACTAATAACAAATTATCCCAAATCTGCTTAGATCCAATTACTCCTAAAACATTCAGTCATTAGAAACAGTACAAACGTCTTTATTTAAAAAAGGAAAAAAACTAAATCGAAGCTGGTAGGGTTTCATTGTCTGGCGCATTTGGATGGTAAACGGTCACGGTGGTCAAAATCTGAATGCTGAGTGCTGAATAAATTCATAATGAGGCAGGGCAGGCTCATAATCCTTTTAGTCCGCGCTGTCTGGTTCAGGGAAGAACGGGTTAACAGGAAGATAATGCGTTATTGCTTTCCGACTTGGTTGTACGGAAGTGTGCAGCTCTGAGCCTCCGAGCGCTGACCCTTGCGCTGTACGGCTAGGGCCTAGGATTCATATCCATAATGTGCTCAATATATTCTGCTATGATGACCGCAGGCTAGCTTCATCTGTTGAGAGGAACCCCTCTGTTAAAAACAGCTTCCTCTTCCAAATCCTATCCAAGCCAAGCAGATAATTCACGGATGAAACGCATGATATGTGTGTGCAAGCACATTAGCTTATGCCCAGAAGCTAAACCATTGTAATATATCTTGGAGGGAGAAACAAGAAATAAAAAAAATCATATAAATATGTGGATTGTGCATGTGTGCATTTAAATTAAGCTAATGTCATAAAAATTATATTAGTTTAATTTAAACTGTTTTATTTATATAATTAGCCTGAAATATTTTTTATTATCTAATTCTAATTAAGAGTATCAGAATTAACAGTATTTTTCTAGTGAGATATATCGTGTTTTTACACCCTTCCACGTCTTGTGTAAATGCAATATCTCCTTTCATTTATTTAATTACCCAAATGTCCATGTTTATTTTAAGTTGTCAGCTCTAATTTAAGGTGGCTTGTTTCAAAGTCCTGTTTTGTTTTTTCACTTTGACTTCGGTATCACGCAGGCTGATCAAACAGTCTAGCTTTACACTTCCTATCAAAGTCATCGCAGCTAATGTTTTGGGGTTGGAGAAGGATCGGTGTTCAATTTGATCACTTCAAAAGCGCAGTTTTTTCCAACTCTTTGGTTTACATGGGGATAAAAAGGCTGTCCCCTCTGAGAAGGCTACGATTACCACCCATTTTTCTGTGTGTTTTTCCCTGGAGGATGTGAATATGTCAACCTGCAGCCGAGTGGCGCAGATGCAATGGAATGAAGCTAAAGAAAGCCGATAGGAGAGGCTGCAGAAATAATACACAACAGATCTCCACTATGAGCACGAATCTGTCCTGGGGGAGAGAGGGAAATTTACAAATCACGTGCTGTGATGTAACTTTCCTTTGGCTTTCAGTATCAATAGTGTTGAGCACACAGACACTGGTTTAATGGCATCAGAAAACAAGAGGATAGAAGAGAAAACAACCCGTTGGATGTGTGTCCCATATGACCATGAGGCCCTGTTCGCTTGGCCCTGGGCACAAGGTCACCTAAGAGTACCACGCTTTGGTTAGACAGGCAGAGAGCTGACCCCCTTCTTCCACTGCACCCCAGGGGACCATCGGTGGTCTCCTAACACGCGAGCCCTCTCCCCCCTCACATCTAACGCATCACCTTCAGCACATACCACAAGGACAGAGTGTTGATGTCATAATCATTGTGTATTCCAGAGTGCACAATCCTGTGACACATCCATTTGGGAGCGTTGGGTGTTTTGTGCTTGTTTGTACTGCGGTTGTCAGCTTTAACAAACCCATTTGCAACACATTTAGCCAATAACGCAGGTGTTTTATTTAGGTGCGTTCCTCTGGTTATTCCATTGTGGAATAAGTGAGTAGCGAATATTTGCACCAGCTTTGAATGAATATTCAAATTTGACGCCATTTACCCAATTATAGGAATGTTAAATGAACCCTGCCTTGCAGTATTTTGATTGTGCAGAGCATCCCTGTGAAACTGCATTTTCTGTTCGCCTTTGTGCAATCTGTTCCCTATTAAGCCAACATAAAAGTTATTTGACAATTTCATCTGAATTGAGAATATGATCTAACACAGGTTTTCTAATCAGTAGACGTGTAGCTTGAATAGTTTATTTCTGCAAAAAAATTTGTTTCCACCTCAGAGGTGGAAAAAAGGATGTTTGACTTCAAGGGGGTTCAAGGAGATGAATCGCAATAGTCCAGAGAACTTGTATATTGTTCTTCTAAAAATGCTTTCACTGTCATCTTTTGGTCTCCATTAATATAAATATTTGATGTTTGTCATTTTAAAACCTTACAGCCATACCAAAGCAATCTGTGACAAAGGTTACCTAACATGTAGTGACCCAAAAAAGATTTTGGACACTTAAATCACACTTAAAAAATATCATTAGATAACAAAATATAAAAGCAAAGCAAATAAATAAACAAACAAACAAACAAAATGGCCTTTGGAACTGATGTCACTTTTATAAGCCATTTTTTTCCAAGTTACTTTGAAGTGGATTTATTAAGTCAAAGTCAGGTGTCCTTGCAGAATAACCACATGTGGAGCTCATCACTATTTAGTATTTTTGACCAGCAGATCTTGTATAATCTTACAGTTTACACCACTTTAGATTATGTAGCTTGTATTGGGGAAAGACTGAAAAAGTAAAAACTTTACACTTTCACTCAAGCTCAATTGTGCTCATAAGTTTACATATAAATTTCAACCATTCAGCATTAAACGTTGTATCAACATTGTTTCGTAACGTGTGTTACAAGCTGTAGAAAGGACCAGAAAAAAAATACTTGTTCATTATTATTATTATTTTAAAGGTGACATATCATGAAAATCTGACTTTTCCAGGTTTTAAGTGCTATAATCAGGTCCCCGGTGCATCTACCAACCAAGGAAACACGAAGAAGATTAACCCAGTAACTTTGTTTTGGTAAGCCTTTTTCTGCAAGCGTCTGAGAAAACGAGCGCGTCTGATTTCGCTCCCTTGGTGACGTGGCAAAGGGATCTCATTATAATATTACCGCCCCTTAATCTGTAAGTTTACACCCACGGTGCCGTTATTGTGTTTTCGCAAGTGACAACAGTGTACTAGTTCTAATGCCATGGCGAAAGTTTTAGCAAAACACGCTAACTGTTCTGTCCTTGGCTGCACAGATGAGCACAGAATACTATTTAGAGTCCCAGCCTCAGAGGAGACGAGAGCAGTGGATTTATTGATTTATTTAATGTATATTGCTGCCACACAGATCTAAAATAAACATGCAATTTATTTTCCAGCTGTTTGCCTTCACAGACATAACCGACTGTTTTTTTGTAACTCGTGTGCAGGTACGAGCTATGGCTGGGCGGTATATCGAGTTTGTACGATATATCGATATTTTATAAGCGATTCGATATGAGGCAATACCGTTTATATTGATATACAGTAGTTTGATACGAATATGCTCTGACAGAAAGGCTGCGTGTGCTGCTGACGGGGACACTAGGCTACTCGCGCTGTTTAATGTGTATGAGATGTGCTGTCTTCCTGAATGCATAACTTACATTTCACAGGTATATTCTCCATTCATAATATGTCTCCTTTAATAAGCTAGCAAATGTTTTCCTCGAAAAGAGACTTGGTGATTATTGGTTTGATATTTTGTTATATAATATATGACTTCAGTGTTAAAATATTTTTTGGGAGCACTGTAAGTTCATTTTTCTTGCGGTTGGTCGAGAGTCACGTTGTTCATTAAGCAAAGAAACACTAAAGACATTTGAGCTGATATCAAACACAGTTGATACACTGAAGGAATAAATCTTCTTCTGCACTTTATCCTCCTTTGGCACTTTCCTCACAAAGCAGGGATTTGAAATGACTCATAACAGGAGGCATGTTGATTTTCTCTTGATTGATATCGTAGTCTTTATGTTAGGACATGCTGTGTGCGGCTGCAGTAGAGGGGCTGTGCTGAGTGGAGGCATGACTGGCTTCCTGTGTCTGGGACCGAATGGAGAGTGACAGTGGGGAGTCTAGGATGAGCTTTCCCAGGGGCCGACTCACCGGGGCCGCTGTCTGGGGGACGGTCGCTTAGACAAACATACACAGTGCTCGATCACATGTTTGTCTTTCTCACCACCCCCCATACTCTCAATTATTCTCTCGCTCCGTCATTACTCCTGTCATTATTTTCTCCTTTTGATGTGAGGGCTTCTTTCTCTTTCTTCTTTTCCCCCTTTGGAGAACTATACTCATGGGCTCTTATGTCGGAGGAATCTCTGATGTGATCATGTTGCTTTGGACGTTAGATTACCCTAGCAATCTTCTTTAAGTAAAATGGAATAGAATTTCTCTCTTTTTTTTTTCTCATCGAAAGTCCATTTAGCCCATGTCTCTGAATTACACGGCAACCCAATACTGTGTGATGCATCAAATACAAGACAATGGGATTTCCCATCTCTCTTACAAGAAGTAAAAACATTGCTTTGTATAACAGGATTACACTCAGACATTGCAACCTTTCTCCCATGAGCTCAGATACAGAAAACGATAAATCCAATGATTTCAACCCTGCACTCAATCTTGCCATAAGGTGGGCAACTCTTAGCTTTCGTACGCCAAGAACTGGTACTCGAAAAAGCTCGCACCCCAGGAAACGAGCCAAGTCTTGCCCGGCAGAGACTCGGGATGAGACGACCTCGCGAGTTGGCATCTTATGCCGTCTGTGTTCTCGAACTCCCGAGTCCCTCTCTCACTGTATGCTCTCTGATTGCCATTTTTACATCTTTTTCCTCCTCCGCTTAATCTTTGATTGTGATGCACCTTTATTGTTTGCGCCTGACGAATGCTGAAATACTCCCAGATCCGTGACAGCTTTTTCACGTCTGAGGAGATGTTACAGAAGCTCATTACAGGCCATTGACTAGATGAAATACTGGTGATGGCACTCTGGAAATAAACTGCTCTTCCTTTGTCGGCTTCTAACAGCTGACTTCCCTCATCAGTCTCTGTCTTTTTTTCTTTCTCTTCAGGAATCAGAGAAAAAAGGACTGATGGAAAAAATCCACATGATTCAAGAAATTGTACTTACAGTTCAGAACACTTTAGATGAAGTGGCTTGCATTGGGGAAAGCGTGAAAAAGTAAGAACAGAGCATTTTATACCTCTTATGAAGCTCACGTATGCAGTTATGCTCATAAGCTTACATATACTGTGTTAAGATTTTTGTTGAATAGATTCATTAACATTTTTATGAACCCTCTATTAAAAATACTGTTTTAGTGTCACGTTTATAAATTTCTAAAGTTTTGACAATACAGTCATAACATTGAGATGGATATTAATTATATATTGGTGCTGATATACCAAAAGACCAAGGATTTATTTGTTGGTAAATCCCTTCCTAACATACAATTTATCTAAATCCTCAAATCCATTTTTCCCCCATTCTTGCAGCTGCTTCCTCAGTGACCTATTCCTATTGTGATTATTGATGCCTTTTCATTTAATAATGTAATTTTTGTTTTTTTGTCTACTTTATTCATGCAATATTACACCTTCAATCTCCAAATTTTATGATATTATTTTAATAATGTAGGCTATTCTTAGGTTTTTTTTATTTTATTTTGCACTAAAACTGATGTAGCAAGGTGTATGTTAACCTGAACTGTTAATAAGTACATATATAGTACATATGTACTTGTACAGTATGTACATATAATTTGTGTGTGTAAATTAACTCAACTTGTTTCTCCATTGACAGCACATTCAACTGGTCAGTACCGTTCTTGTCGTTCCTGGCCTGCCTGGTTCTGTTTCTGGTGACTGCCGCCTTGTACTACATCCCTCTGCGGTACATAGTTTTAGCGTGGGGTAAGTAAGTGAGACACCATGTGTAGCCCTTTCACCCAATCATGCGTGGTACTCCAGTGCTGCTGTTAAGCTGTCTCCACTTTCTTTTAAATGGAAGTCATGCAGAGGTGTTTTAGAAAGAGTCACACTTTACTGTCTTTGAGCTCGACTCTTTTACTGATGCCTGACGAAAGCTATTTAAAAAGTGATCCATTTTCATAACTCTACCTGTGACAGCTGATCAGAATCATGAACATGATCCACTGTTAGCTGAGGAGGCCAGCTGCACCTCTCCTGACTGAGGCTTTGTAAACTTGTGAAAGTTTGATGATGTATGTACAGTAAGAGTAAGCAAGTGAAGGCATTATTTTGCTGTGTTAATGCCCCTAATGTCAATTTGAGATTTCACACCCGTGATGATTGCTTTTAAAGTGTGCGGGGGGGGGTACACGTTTTCATTCATTTTTTTTGTCTTAAAATATGAAATTCTGAATATATTAAAAAATTTGGGGTTGGTTAGATTTTTTAGTTTTTGAAAGAAGTCTCTAATGCTTACCAAGGCTGCATTTGATCAAAAATACATTACAAATAGTACTACAATTTAAAATATTTTAATATACAAAACTACAGTCTTCAGCAGCCATTACTCATTACTTCAGTGTCAATTAATAAAGAAAAGTATTTATTCAAAATAGAAATCTTTTGTAACATTATAAATGTCTTACTGTCACTTTTGATCAATTTATTGTGTACTTGATGAACTTATGAACATTCATGTATTATTCTTTAGAAAAAAATGTTTTATGTTCTCAAGGGAAAATTATGAAAATATATTGGTCAGAAAATGAGGGACTTCATCAATATTGGCTCAGTGATGCAGTTATATGACATCATACAGCAGTAGTGTGAACTGTGATGACCGTATAAAATACCATGTGTATTTATTTATATGCACTTACAGTGGGTACGGAAAGTATTCAGACCCCCTTAAATTTTTCACTCTTTGTTATATTGCAGCCATTTGCTAAATAGCAGTATGAAATTCATATAGCAGATAAAGTGACAAATGTTTGTTGGGTCAAGGTTTGTTTTGTCAGTAAGATACGTGCAGGTGCGGCGGATAACTTTATTTATTAATGCACGCTTGTTTTTTTTTTTACAGGTGTTAACAAATTTACTAAGAAGCTTTTCAACCCATATGCCATTGACAATAATGAAATACTGGATTTTCTCAAGAGGGTGCCTTCTGATGTTCAAAAGGTAAGGGTCCAATTTTACATTTAGAGAGAGAGGGAGGGACAGAGACAAGGAAGGAATTCCCAGAAGATGTCTGCATTATTTGCTCTAACAGAATTCCCAAGTGTTACCCAGGATATTTCCTCTGGCTGTGTTTGATTATTAATGGACTCACGCCTTTAAAGGCGGCCCCCGGCCCAATTATTTCCCAGCATGTCTTGATGGAGTCACTCGGCTGCCTGGATGGGGTCCGCTCTGATCTATCCTCGGCCGTAACGCTTCAGTCTTGTCCCTGATTATCAGTTTTGTCGGCCTGTGATAAAAGAAGGGTGCTGTAGAGGGTTCAGGGATTGGCTAAGGGGTCGGTGTCTGCACACTGGCAGTGTGGCGGCCCCCGTCACATCAGGTTGGAGGACTCGATTAATGAAGTGTTGAGCCAACGCCGTCCTGCTGGGCGCCATATGTGATGAAACATTATCCATGGCTGATATGTCATTCAGGGTTACATCATAAGCCCGCGGATGTGCAGCCAAATGCTGAGAGTCTCGCTCCGTCTTTCGGACCCTGAGTGAGATTCTGAAGTCAGGATACAAAGCGGGTCCTGCTGTCACGAAGCGTTTTGCATAGAATGCTTCTCTCCATCAACAAGGCTATTTAACTGTTGTCAGTGCTTCCTGTCCTGCTCAGATACTGGAGAGCTTGAGTGATTGGCTCAGACGAACCTCCCGGGATGAACCTCTGCAACTTTACATTAACATATGTCTGTGTGGTTAGATGAAGCCAGCATGACACACTGGTTTTGGCATGTGGAAGCAGCAAGTTGGCAAAACAAGATGGAAACCATTGCTGAGTTTTTAAGCCTTTTGAAGTATGTTTTCTTGGTTGGATGAACTGCCTGCTGTTCATTTAAATGGAACACACCAAAAATGGGAAGCTAGAATGATCTTTAGCAGAAAAAAAGTGCATGGCACTTTTTAAAGAACAAAATGCCAATAAAACGGCACAGTGGTCATTAAGGATGCCAATAAATACCAAAAAGGTATGCAGATCCTTGCTGTCCCCGTTAAGTTTAACATGTCCAAACCTTTATGCTAAAAATGGATTGACCAAATAAACAGCATGTTACAAAAGCTCAAATTGACTCCTGTATCATGGTTCCGAAAATGACTTGGCAATTAGTGCCTGTGCTGTTCTTCAAACGCAAACCCTCAAAACTGGACTTCATACAGCGGCCCTCTGTCCTAAAATAAGCAGCATCTGTCAGTTCTGAGGACAGTTTCATGTTCTGAGGCTGCCGCGTCACTTTGTTCCCTTGTGCTCCATCTCCCATTCTCATAATCAGGGCCTGGTAATTAGTGTGCAGTCCCTACCTTACAGATACACCTCCAGGTTATTGTTTAGAGGAGAAACAAACAAGAAAATCATTTGGACGCATTCTCCACGCTTCGAGTCCTATCAGCCTCATGCCATATTTAATTATTTGTCGATGCTGTATGTCGTTTGGACTGAACGGTGGCCTTGGACAAGAGAAGATGCCTTTAATGTAATTTTCAGAAGCTGATGTTGCTCTTAGCTGTGAAAGCAAAATCATAGGGAATGCTTTTGGAGGTTATTACGATCCAGGAGCACTTGGGCTCGATAATGTGTCCAAAATGTTTATTATGATATGTATTGAGTATTGGTCGACCAATATAATGCCGATATATATCACTTCACACGGTTTAATTTAAAGATTTTAAAGAAAGTAAATAACACATGGTGTAATTATAAATTAGAAAAAAAATTATTTAAAAAAGAATCATAAAAGTTCTGGATTTTCTGAAGTTTGCAAGATTCACAGAAATATTTATTAGACATTTAAAGATACGTTTAAATTATATAAATGCATTTTTGCTGAATGCTGACATCATATGAGAACATTTTACAATGTCTGCTATAAAACTTTATCATATACCGTGTCCTTTAACAGTTCTGTCTAATAATATATTAAATAGCTTGGTTGGCCGCTTGTATTACCAGCAAGTTTGTAATTGAAATGCAAGTGCATCTGGAATGAAACTTAAAGTAGGTACATAAGCCCATTTATTAGTCATGGGCTAAAAAGTGTCATTTTCACATGCCGAATCATCACATTATGACTTGAAAGAGAAGGACTGACTTTGTAGTCATATAGCAACTTCTCATTAAATGCACACAAGATGTATTTATCTTTTTAAATGCCAGATCTGAATACGTGTAATTGCCGTCTAGTAGTTGTACGTGGATATGCTGTGAGCTGCAGGAAAAATCTTTATTCAGTTTCTCAAACCTCAGTGAAACTCTACTTTCATCATGACGACCTTCACCTCCGACCTGAGTTCACTCCCTGCTTTAAGTAAAGTAAACAGCATTTTCATCTGAAACGAGGGAAGTGTGTGATCATCTGTAACCGCAATGCCCCAGCCGGAGCAGTACAGCTTACTCCTGCCTACAAGCTGCTATAATTAGTCTCCAACAAACTTTTCTCAGGAAGGACACAACTCGCAACAACTCAGTTTGCGAGGACCTAAGACAGCGGGTCTGCTCAACCGGTATAGTTCCCTTATAGGTGGGGGTAGTGTAGTCACCGCTGTGTCGGTACGGAACCCTTGACTTTTCAAATCTTTCCTCCGTGTGATTAATCCCCTCTGCTCCTGTGTTTAAAAAATGATTCATTACAGCCGCGCCCGCCTGGCTTTCCCCCTGCACCGGCTCTCCTCAGGGGAGCCATTACCGTGAGCGGGCCTCAGCTCCGATTACCTGCGTCTGACCAAAGAGCTGTTTGTTTTTACAGGTGCAGTACAGCGAGCTGAGAGCTGAGCTCGGCAACCAGGGCCTAGCAAAGAAGAAACGCTTGCGTTGAAACCCGACGGACGTGTCGGATGAAAGGGACGGACAGCGTTTCAAGACACGGTCTGTTTAAGTCATAATGCCCCGTGCGAGTGGAGAAGGAGCCCCCTTGTGCCAAACCATCCGCATTTCCACTGAGGTGTATTCATCGGCTGCATGATACTGTGTATGTGTGTGTGTGTGTGTGTGTGAGAGAGAGAGAGAGGGGCCCCTCCTGACGGGGCCTTTGGCCCTCGTGAACTCACATGGTCACAGTGTCTGAGCATATGAAGGTAAAGACGGGCTTCACCAGCCTCTGCATGTGGTCACGCTGAAATGCAATGAGATACAATGCAGCCTTTTCATATATTAATGTCTTTTTAGAGACCACATTCTGGTTCATTTAACAAACTGAAAATTAGCCACAAAACAGCGCACATACGTGCTTCCTGTTGCTTGTGTTTACAGCAGGGAATATTTAAATGAGGGCAAAATATATTTATGATAAACTTGTTTATATTATGGAAAATATTCAAGCAGTTTTAAATGCCATTTAACATTTTTATTCATGCAAATGCAGCCTACTGTTAAGAATTATTTTATGTATGCTGTTTGTTTTTTCTATGCATCTTCTGTGTTGTACATTTATGCAGCAGATAAAGATGAAATGAAGATGACTAAAAAGTTTGACTTTTTAAATGTGTTTGTCTTCTCTCACGTCCTTAACTCTGTGTTATTTGTGAAAGATGCACACAGTATTATTACCCAGCCCACACTTCAGAAGAGGATGCTGGTCACTGTTGGAGGAAAACATCAAAGTCTCTGTGTGTCCAGAGCAGTCAGCTAATGCACTGCTTTTGTAGTTCGCTGACAATAACAAGGTCCAGATGAGAGAGCTCATCTCTCATAAAGAGGGAGGGAGACTGAGAGAGAGGAAGAGAAAGAGTGAGTGAGTATATACACTCCATACCCTGCACTTAGCGTCTCCCATTTTCATTAAAATCACCTCCAGTGCCTAATGGCTCTCTACTAGACCCATCACTCTGTAGTGTTAGCACCAGTGATGGGGCTTCAAGTAGAGCAAATGGAGATTTCCTGCCTCATCAACTTATTTATTCATATTACAGACATATTCCAGCCTCTCCGCTATCAGAGTCATTTTTATAGAAAGCAACATTTCCAAAGTAGTGCATCTTGAATGTTGGCATTCAGAGCGTTGATTTGAAATTAATATTAAGCGATTATTAACATATTAATAAAGTTAGCAGTGAGCGCTGTTCATTTGCACCTTTTTTTACAGTGCTAAGTTTTGTCCTTCACCTCGATTTACAGACAACTTTTATCAGAGCGAGCAGGAAAAAGTTTCTTTCAAAGAAATGTAAAACCGAACAGAAAGAAGAAACTTCCTCAGATGGCGTCCGCTCGCTTGCTCTCCCTCAATAATTTAGCGAGCGAGGTAAATAGCCGAGCGGATGCTTTGTAAAAATAGCCATAGCCATACAGATGAGCCCAAGACCCCAGCTCGGGGAGTTTGTTCAGACTGATTGGAGTGCTCAGCATCCCAGTCTGCCCCCCTCCGTCTCTCCCACCCTCCCTTCACTCCTCTGCAGTTTGGTGCTGGTGAAAGAGCATCGGTTGGTGCAGCGTGAAGAGTTTGATTGGCTCTCAGGGACCTGCTGGAGCCCGGGGCTATCTCTTTTGACAGTCTGATAGAGACATCACGGCACTCTCCCAGGAGCTGCCACTGGGGGTCCGATTCAAAGCGAGGGGGAGTGGAGGTGACCCGCGACGCTCTGACGAGAGAAATCCCACACACACAAACTCCTGCACAGACTCCGCTGGGGGGCCACGGAGAGGGAGAGCGAGGAGGGGAGGGCCAGTGTCCCTTAGCTCAGTAAATGAGACCCCATCAGATGTCTGCGTGAGGTGAAACCAATTAAACAATGCTTGCAGGAAAGTGCTAGTCGTGGGGTTAGCACCAAAACTTGAAAGCGAGCCTCTAAGTGGATGTGAAGTGTTTGTGCTGGAGGAGAGCAGTGGTCTTCAAAAATTCAAGACCGTCTCAAAAAACGCAGATGAAATGAGAGGCTGCCAATTGAGATCTCTCGTAAAAAGAGGCCAGACGCAGCATTCATCTCTGAGGGCTAGTGTTGACAAGTGTTTTTGGGTAAACTGCCTTGATGAAAATCTTATGCTTTGATGCTTCAGACATTTAGAAAAGTCAAATTGTGGTCCGAAAATGAATGCACAAAAACTTTGCACACCCTCTAACATGTAGCACTAACATCATCAACTGTGAATAGTTTTTTTTTTAATAGGTTGTTTCAACAACAAAAAAATTGTCAATTATGGCCTGTGACATTGTGTTTTAAGAATACTGAATTAAGCATATTTTGCTCTTAACTGCATTAAGATTTTATAGATACATTCATTGAAAAAATTGTTTACTAATTACATTGCTAATTATTAAAGGACGCTCTCTTCTTCAACATTCATGTTAACAATGCACTATCATTAACTATAGATCAGATCAGTACAACAAGATGCAATCAAACAGCACATTAAAAAAACATACATGCCCTTGAGATTTTTATTTTTTTATTTTATTCAGTGTCCTCCCCAGTGACTTCATTTTAGATTTCTAATTTGTGGCAATTTACAGAGAAGTAACTATTTTATTTTCCTGAACACATAAGATTGAAACGTTGCTTTATTCACAAATTGTTTTTGCGATAGTAAAATTTTTTATTACAAGAATTAAACTCTCAACTTGGATAGAAACCTAGGTGAGGATGGAGGACAATAGAGACAATACATGGTAGACCCCCCCCTCCTGTTTTGTCTAATAAACAAAATCATGTTTAAAAATGATCAGTTTACTCCTGGGATTGAAACCTCAAATCTCTATAGGTTACTAAACAGGCAATATGGTCCCTGAATATTTTCCCCAAACTCACTAATGAACATCTCATCCACACAGCAGTTAACACTGCTTGCATCATTCTCTCTCTCTTTTTTCTCCTTCAATAGTTGTTGTTTTGCTTGGTATGAGGCTGATGTCTTCATCAGCCTGTCAGAAAGGAAGTGCCTGCAGCTGTGGCAGGTCCCCCTAGAGCCTGTCGCACTCTGTGTTTCCATGGTAGTCCTTCAGGCAGCACCATGGGCAGACTGTGCGCAAGGACCCCTACAACCTGTTTTTTTTTTCTTTTTTTTCTTCCAGATATGCAGCCCTGAAGCGGGCGTCAAACTGAAACGCCAAATAGTAAAAAGAGTGCTGCAATACTTCCTTTGCAGGTGGTGCTTTCTCTTTCAGAAGCAATGCCAACCAAATCTAATTTTAATAAGATGCCCCTGTTCCTCAATTATTGTTACGCGGGTGCTTTCGTTAAAGGGAAATGACCCTCCCTCAACTCGCCGTGTATTCCTGCAGAGTCTTCATAAGGCAGCAATAAGCAAAAGCTTCTTGTTAACATAAAGATGTCATATTACTTTACTTTTGATTTGTTTTCCTTAGTAGTACGTCAAAATATAAACACATCAGAGACTCGTCGTGTTGCTGAGGGGCTCAACATCGCTGTATTGAGATCGCCGAGGTCAGGCCTCAGATCTGACACCAATAACGAGAAGGGCTTTCCTGGAATCAGACACTAATGAGATCCAAATGACAAAAGCGATTGTTTTTACTCTTCTCAGGGTGGGCCGCACCAACTGAGAACCTTAACCTACATGCTTAGCCTGTCGAAGATATCCCCACATCTCCTGTCTGTACTTTGGAAGGAAGGAAAGCCGCCATGGATCAGTCAACAACGTATGTAGATGAACAAAGACTATCCAACATGAGAGCAAAGATTACAGTCAGTAGCGGGTACAAATATTAATTACATTTTAAAGTCACGACTGCAATTGAGCCTCAGGGTGCTTGCCTCTGTTCTGCGAACTCATAGTTTGCATGTTATTTATACAGTGGGCGTATTACACTCACTGACACTGAGCCGTAATTTCTCACAATACATCAAATGCACTGGGGTAGCCTTTAAGAGCTTAAATTAAGTCGCTGGCCTTTAAAAGCATCTCTCTTAGGGGCCTGTCCGGATTAATAAATTCAACTGATTTGGCTTTAATATTATTCGGAGTGCATTAGAATGCAGCTAACAGCTGGGGCGGTGGCCAGTCTCAGGGGCATTGGCAGGGGCGAGGAGTGCCGCTGAGATACGGAGTGTGAGTCTGAGGGCAGGCGGGCGCGTGAGCAGCGTGGGGCCAGAGGTCCCTCCGTTACAGTGCGGCCCTGATAGGCTCGTCTCTTGGATCAGAAAGGCCAGGCTTAAATGAAAGGACGATGAGGAGGGACGCCGACCGCCTCGAAAACAGTCACCCCTTCTGCGACAAGCTCTCACCTCTGATAACTGGTTGCGAGGAGCGTTTACTTTCTCCATCCTTTTCTTTTCCTTTTATCGTCAAAGCAAGAAAATGTTAAACAATGTTAACAGAATAGGACAGCCCTCTCGGCGACACATTATAACAATAATCAAGAAAAAAATTTAGCTTAATAAACATGGGAAATCTCTTTCTCTCCATCCCATTACTGAATTGCGTTGCGCACCCTTGAGGAAGGACCTTGAGAACAGAGCGCCATGGAAGTGGAAATTGGTGAAACGATAGAAAGGAAGATATGGGGATGGAAAGAAAGAGAGAAAGACACCTTTGTTAGCTATCTGTGGTCGCCTCAATGGTCGGCGTTTAGCGTGCGCACACCCCGTCAGGCAGCAATACACAGAATAATTTAACCGCATATTTCATTTTAATTAACAGTGATATAATGCAATGTGACTCTCAGCCTCCAGAGGAAAGAACACAATATTTGGCTTGATGAATCTACTGGAGCCACTCGCAGTTTCTCTTCTCACCTCATGGGATTCAGGTATCATTAGAGATAAGCAGAGATCTGCTTTTTGTCTCGCAGTTAAAAAAAAGAAAAAAAAGTGCAGACACATGGGTGACTGCAGAAGTGTTCAATATTAATAGCCTTTCATCAAGGACACAATTAGGACACCTCTATTTGACACATTCTATAGGAGTCAAATGAATATGTATATCTGGTGTTCTGGAATGTGCCAGTGCACAAAAGTGACAGGGTGAAATCACAGGACGGTCAAGTAAAAGCTTGCACAAAAAGACAATCAGGTTGATTGCTTTTTACAATTCAGTCTGGTTCACTCAACGCAGTACAAGCAGTTTGTAAGCAACAGTGTAACTGCAAAAGCGACATTAGTGCTTTCAAACTGACACCGTTTCTCCTGCGTAGCAGAACTGCAGCTCAATACAATAAAAAAAATAGAGTATTTTCAGACATAAATTAGAAATTCTACACCAAATGAAATCCCCAAAAAAACTTTTTAACTTGTTTTATAAAACGTGACAATATTTTATATAATGCTTTTGTGTGCTGTATGGGCTAATTCTATAGTTTAAAAAAGTTCTATAGTTAAAAATATATATATATTTTTTAGGTTACATTAAAAACGTATGCGCTTTATGTTGCAATTCTTTGAATCAAAAATGTTATTTTAACTTGTCAACCTGACAAATTGTTATATCAACATTTATATGGGTTAGATCATGTAAAAACATTTGCCGGTTACCACTTTTTTTTCCAATGTAGAATATACTAATTTATGGAAAGTTGCATGCAAAGTATTTTCTCTGATGGTCTGTTCCCCCCCTTTTTTCACAATCATATAAAAACATGCATTCACGCTCACCAATTACTGTAGGGTTTGGTATCAATTCCTGTCTTATCTCTGGTGAAAATAATTGTTACATTTCTCTTCCCTTACTGTGAAAAAATTTCTGTTTTACACCAAAAATCAGCTTAGGGTTATTTGAATCACCCTACATATCAATTATAATTGGAGACTGAGGTTTCCAAAGGTCACTGCCCACTGCCACTGAGAGTGCAGTCAATCTCCGGGCATGCGTTGCCTCCTCTTTCATTAACAAGGCCTGCTAATTACAGCCATATGAACTGTCCTCCAGATCTAAAGCATTGCACTGCGCACATAGTAATTGATGTGTAAAAAAAAAAAAAAAGGATTTAACTTAATTTAAAGCTCCTGACTCGGATTAATTAGATGTGGTCTTGCATTGGAACCACTTTGCTCTGTGATCATGGTTTAAAGGGTCCAGTTGTGGAGATATAGAAATGATGTTTGTTTTGCTCATGAGTCTACAATGTTAGCCATCAGGGCCCAATTAGCCGGCAAACTAAAGCCTCTGTTAGTTTCTCCTCTTTAGCTTTGATAAGCAGTGGAGGCCCATGTGGTTATATTTTTCTACTTACCCCTATGCTAAAACTGTGCTGTGCACTGTTCAGACATGCGGTGACCGTGTAGTGAAATGATAATTCCTGGATTACAAACACATCTGTCCCTCTTCAGAACTGCAGGGAAAAGAAGCATAGTGGAAAATGTATGTTAGTACAAAACATACTATAAACATAACTGTACATAACAACAACAGCATTTTTCCATGGCTTGTTGCATATGAAAATAAAATAGAATTTAAATGATTAAAACACTGGTTAAAATGACTGGATAATTGTGTATGTGTGTGTGTGTGTGTGTATACTGTATATATATATATATACACTGTATATATACAATTTTGTACATATAATTTTTTTTTATGTATGGAGTGTTCCCATTTTTGTGGATATTCTGACGGTAGCTATTTTCTTTGTAAGCCTGGTAGAAAATGTACAACGAAAAGTCAGATGATTTAGTGCTTGAAGGTTTCTAATAAAAATCATATTGAATAAAACGTCCAAAACTCACACAGATGTCATCCTCCTTCCTTTATGGTTGGAAGAAACATTTGGTTCTTTAAGACAAATGATTTAAAACAAACTTTGAAGACACTGATCATTTTCCAGGTTGTCTCTCAGTGAGACCAGCATGACGGTAGATACTTTCCATGATTTGCTCATATTCTGCCTTTCGAGAAGGTCTACCAAGAGCATCATCTGACAGCAAAGACATTTTATTATCCTAAAGGAATAGTTCAAGAAAAAAAAAAAATCTAAAATGTCATTACTCATTATAGTGTAATTTAAAATCTGCATGACTTTCTTTCATGCATGGAACACAGAAGCTGCTATTTCGGGGAATTTTAAAGCTGCTCTTTTCCCTAAATTGAAAGTAAATGGTGACCACAGCTTTTTCCCAGATCCCTATCCACCTTGATTGTCTGGCCAAAAAAAAGCTTGGACATTCTCCTTTGCGTTCCATTCAAGAACAGCTCTGTATTGTAACAACGACATGAGGGTGAGTAAATAATGACTGTATTTTAATATTTGGGTGAAGTACCTCTTTAAGAATTTTGATGGACAGAAGCATGTGAGTGTGTGTCAGAGGGGTATGGGGTGGATGATGGCAGGAGGAGGAGGAGTCTAGGCGTGAGACAGACAGAGGGGGAAACAAAGCCATCATCTCCCTGTGCTTGCCCTTCTCTCCCCTCTCCTCCACTGCACCAATTACTGCGTCCCCTGCTCACCCATCAGTATGCAGCAGGGCTCACTCTCAGCACCACTCGCCCCAGGCCATTGAATACGTTACCTCTGCTATGGGGTGAGGGGCTCCAGGGCAGTGCGCCCCGTAACCCTGTAGATAATTTGGGATTCCTGCTCCCCACTGACGAGGAGAGGAGTGGTAAAAAGAGAAAACAAATAAAGGAATAAGGTCTGCCCAGACACCTACCCAGAGATCTACTCATTTATTGATTCCTTTATTCTTTCATTTGTGAAATTGTAATTAAGCTAGCTATTTATGAGTCCTCCATGGCAAGACTTCGGCTAACACTATATTAGTACCTACAGGTAGAGCCGTTCGCATTACATAATGAACTCTAATCTGTTCGCAATGGAATAATAAGAAGGTGGTACTCGGTCCAGTCTAATGACGATCCAGTAATGATAATGACTTAATTATTTGAAGCTTTTGGCTTGAATGATAGTGATGTGGAGGACAGAAATGTAATTTAACAGATCTCAAACTGTGAGAAGTTGTTCAGTCTTTAGAAATCACGGTAACATAGAATGAAAAAATAAAGTTTTAAACAAGCCACTGCAGTTTACTGCATACATCATTTTGTCAGCATGTGTTTTATTTGGAATTGGAAGGGATCTTCTCCTCAACTTTTAATGTAAAGGGTTAGTGTATAGTCAGAAAACCGCAAAATTAAGGCTATAGTCACAACCAAATGTGGACATGATCTTGTATATTGTCTTAACACCTAATCTTGTATATTGCCTTAACACCTACAAATCAATCAGCCCAGCAACAAGAGGAACACTGCAACAACATTACAGTACTAAGTCCTCTGAGGTAAATTTCACTAATCGAAAAACTGACACAGTTGCGTTTGTATGAAGCAAGAATGAGTCTGTGGTTTGAAACCTTTTCTTATAAAATGTGATGCAAGAAGATTCCAGTGACAAGCAATTGTCTGTCCACACCAGACGCAACAAAATCAACCACAAATCGTAGCCAATCAGAAGAGCTTGTGGGCGGGCAAAGTGTTTATCTCGTATATTCTGTTTATTTCAGAAACCTTGCACTTGTCTACCAACACTTTACCAATATTTTATTTTCTGTTCAACGAAAATTCCAGCAACAAATTAGATGAAAAACCATAAAATGGGAAGATTTGCTTAGGCTGCTTTGCATAGCCTCTATATGTAGGTTTGCGTAGTGGCTGACTCCTACATGCTGGCCTTCAAGCCTAGCCAGGGCTCCTCCCACTCGCCAGCCAACAGATGCATGGAAACAAATGCTGCCCCACAGAGCTACTCTTGTCATGTTGGAATAAACGGTGCAATGAAATTCTGCAAAACGGGAAAAGCGAACCAGGGAAACTTTCCACTTCATTATGCTGCCTAACCAAGTTAGCAGCCGAATGGGCAAAGAGGAGAGAGAACTGGGAAAAATGCTAGAAGCGCTTATCATCAGACAAAACTCACATTGCACCCAAAACATTTTAGAACCGAGCGGCTGACATAAATGCCTTTTTAATATGCCTCTGTTTCTCCCCCAAAAAACTGTTGGAATAATTGATTATCGCATTAGTTAATTTAGCGATGAATCAATTATCAAATCTGTCAGTCCTAGCTGGGGAAACAAGGGAGGACACGAAGATGGTAGACAGTGATTATTATAGAGCCATGGGGAATTATGGGACTATTCAGAACGCTGTATTCATTGGCTGCTGGAGGAATTGTTTCTCTATGCGCTGTGGTCTGAGTTGAGAAAGGGCGAACCGAGGACATTAAATCAACTGGCCAAGAAATCTCACGGCACGATAGTTTCAAATAACTCTCGAACAATTAATTGATGAGGTAAAGTGAGATGAGGTAATCCACTTTCAATAATTGAATAGCCAGCATGATATGTTTCATAAAGTCGGAACAACACAGGTTAAAACAAACACAATCATGAAATGTAGCTTCACTAATTCATATCTCAAACCATCTAAACAGAACAGTATAATAAAATATTACGTTTTATGCCAGGTGCATACGATATTGTACAAACTGCTTGACACAGATAATCAATCAAGCAATAATTTCTGATGATTTTTTTAATGTTTTAAAAACAGACCATTGGCATTTTTAATTATTCATGTGCATAATAATAAAAATAAAATATTAGATACTATACAACAATATTATTACAATTTAAATTCTAATATGACGTAACATTTACATTTTAATATATGTAACTTAAATTTGTAGAAAAAGCGTGGCATTAAAATTCAAATTCAAGCCATTTGAATCAAGTCCAAAATGCTACGGTTGGTTAGGCTCTTCAAGACAGATGATATAAAGTGAAGCAAAAGCTTTGCCGCTGATCATTTTCCAGGTTGTCTGTCGGTGAGTCATAGAGCAGCATGACGGTAGGTAGTATAAACATTGTCGGTCTGTGGTTAGACGTGTAGGGGAAGCTCTCTCCAGCAGAGGGGCACCTGCTTCTCAAAGCCGGGCTGCTTAATCACTTTCATCTGGGCCCCCTGCTGCCTCGCTAACCTGGTCTTACTTTAGAAAGCAGATCTGTCTTTCACATCCTCACACACGGCTCCCTTTCTTTTGCTTTCAGCCTCGGTTGTTTTACCTTTCTAATTCGGCCCAGATGTGACGGCCCGCTCCGCCGCCCGTTCTTCCCCCTCTCCCTCTCGCGCCCACCTGCTCGCTGACCTGCGGACCCCACACCCAGTCTCTCATTTGATTTCCCTTCTCTGGAGTGAAAGGGCTGTTCTGTAGCTCATCGCAGCGCCTCTTTTTGCTTCGCCCCGTACTGCCTGGAGGGTCTGTGTTCAGCGTTGGGGCAGAGAAGCACTGGCAGACCCCTGTTTCAGTCGCAAGCCTTCATGGCTTTTGTTACTCCTTCAACGACTCAATCAGAAGCTCCATGCCTGTGGCCTCTGAATAACCCACCTCCCATGTAGATGGCTCTAGACCAAGGACTCAAACAGGCAGTCTTTGAGGACACACACAATAGCTGTGGTGTTATTTTTGACTCAAGATGTATAAGAACTATTTCAATCTAAAAACAATTTCGACACGCTCATGCTCAGAGGAAATTACAATACTGGCCAATTATCATCTGAAGGAATTTCATTATAGGAAAGAAAGGGCTGGTTTATGGAATCATCTTGGCTTTAATTGGATTGGTCCAGTTGGACATCCCGACTTGATGGACAGCCCAGATCTCTCTAGACCAGCGCAAGTCTGTGTCTGCGTCTGCCTCTGTTGGACAGGCCTCAGTAAATAATCTCTCACTGCTAAATGCTCACTGTTAATTGTTTCCTTTTTTTCCCAGATAATTACGACAACACCTCTGCGCCTCAGCTTGAAGGACGCACTCCGCCAGGGCCTAAGCAGGTGCCTCTTACTGACTGACAAGAGCTGTCAATCACCCGTAAAGAGCTCTCCACTTTCCTTCAGCTGTATGCTGCGATATTCCCTTTTGTCAGTTTATACCAAACACAAAATGAAAAAGCCGGGGCTTAACCAGGTAGCAAACAGGCCCCAGACTGTCAAAGGGAATTAGAGCGAGCATGTCTGCTTCTCTCCACTCTATCTATGAGGCACTCGCAGCGCTGTTCCTCGCACATGATAAGGGCTTTTACTTATGGGACCTGCCGTGATTAAGAGTCCCTGGGTAATAGAGCCTTGCTGCTGCCGTTTCAATAGTCAATGAAATTACCGACATCTTTTCAGCTACAGACTGATTTTTCTTATCCAAGAAGGATAACCATGTATTTAAAGGAATAGTTCACTCAAAAATTAAATTCTGTCATTTACTCACCCTCATGTCCGTTCCAAACCTGTATGACTTTCATTCTTCTGTTTTAAAACAAAAGAAGATATTTGGGGGGAAAATATGTTTTTCATCCATGCACTGCAAGTCAATGGGGTCCAATGTAATTTCGTCCCCAGCAGTCTTCAAAATATCTCCTTTTGTGTTTCACAAAATAAAGAAAGTTATACAGGTTTGTAAACAACACAAGGGTGTGTTAAAAACTGACAGAATTTGCTTTTTTGGGTAAACATTCCTTTTAAGATGGATGTAATATCCAACATACAGTATTCAGGCAAACACACATACAGACAGTAAAAGTCTGAATAGAAAAAGAAAACATTTATAGTAAGATGTTCATACTTCTCTTTTCCATACAAGTGAATGGTGACAACATCCGTCATATTCTCAGTGGGAGAGTTTACATAAATTTCAGGCTGTTTCAGGCTATCACCACACAGAGCTATCACTTAAGACATGGAATATAGTGAACAAGTCATACAGCTTGACAGCTCCTGGTCCCCATCCACTTTCATTATATGCAAGGGAGCAGTTCAGACTTTTCCCTGAACAAGATGAAGGCGAGTAAATAATGACAGAATTTTAATTTGGGGCAAACCATCCTTTTACAAGTTCATAAACCCCTTGTTCCTCTAATCAACCCAGTCATGTTTGTCATTTCAGCACACAAACACTGGTCAGATGAAGCAAGCAGTACAATTTAAATAAATAAATGCTCACTCTCCACATCTTCCACTCAGACTATTTGCATTGCCACAATTAAGAATGCTAATAGAACAATCCAGACCTCGCCTTTGAGGAGGATGGAAAGAGGCACCCCTATTGTTATTCTTATACCTGACCTGGAGGGCACTGTCACGCTGTGCTGAAACAGCCGGCCTCTCAGGAGAGCATAATAAACTAACCGAATCAAAGATGGGCACGCTGGTATGGCCTGGCACTCCTAACACTGGTCCTTGATCAGTTAGACGAGCCCGAGAGATGGAGAGCCAGCGGCCATTCGTGCAGAAGTGACTGAGGCCGAGCGGGAAAGCAGGTCAGAAAGTCAGGGTCGCTAAGCACCACTGTGCTATAGAGCGTCTCTGACAGGACAGGGCCAAGACCGGGGAACGACATGAGGTTTAGGGGATGGGAGGGGAGGGGAGGCCAAGAGCACTGCTACAGTTTCTTATTTTGTAGTGGACGATGGTTATGAGTATAATATGTGTATACAGTCTTGAGTATAGTCATAAACATATAAAATACATTCACAAACATACAGTATGCAGAGAAAATCAAACAGATGTCACAATGCTTCACAGAGTCCATCATTTGCCATGCCGTCTGTTAACCTGAAATAGACAAGCTAACTTTTTTTTTTAAATTAATTACTAGGAATGTAGCTCATAATATTGTGATGTGCAATTAGAAACACTTGGACATTGAGAATTTCCGGACCGTATGTGCACCATATGTGCAGCCTTCAGTAAATAATATCAAATTTGCTTCTATTTAAGCGGTCAGCTCTTTAGATCCGAAACATCATCAGTGTGATGTGTCCTGATATCGATAACCCATTAAGTCAACCTTCGCCAGACAATTTTCAATGAGAAGCCGTTTCTGACACACACACACCACAGCGCTGGAGAGATTCCGAACTCTCTCTGCAACCTAGCAACCCATCACACATAGAGAGGATCTAGACTGGCACTTTAGGGGAATTCAATTCACTTGTCCACAGTGAATAAGATTGAATCACTTAGACATCTGAGGTGATTTAATAGTGTTAGCATACGTAGCGCCTCAGCACAATGACATAGGGAAAAAGGGGCTCTTAGGATTATTACATTCACTGAAAAATAAGTCACTTTCCTAGGTTCGAAAATTCATTTTTCTGCAAGATACTTCCCAGATAATAGCAGATAACTTGAGAAATTACCATATTTTTCATGTCAAAGTTTAAGAAATGTGTGCTTTTCCTGGTTCTATTGGGCATATACTGCACGTTAAGCAAAGCACATACAGCGAATGTACTTACACCTGCTACAAAATCACAAGAATATGGAAATAAAATGAATTCGATTTCATGCACCAAATTGCAGGACGTATCAGGTGTCTTTTTGACACACACCCCAAGCAGGGATTGAGTATTGACGTTCTATTCGGAGTAATGCTTTGAATAGTAGTCACAAAGTATTCAGTACTACCTAGCAAATGTTTCTTGTAATTCTCAGTTTTGGCCATCAAGTACAACACACACACACACACACACACACGCACACACAAGAATAATACGAATAATAATTAATAATTCATTAACAAACAAACAAATTAATAACATTTAAAACAAACAAACAAAAAAACTTACTGTACTTTCTTGGAATATGTTTCCAATACTTGACCATATTGCAATTGCCTATTTAAATGTTATGCAGAACAGAGGACAAACAAAACATAATATTTTTTCAATGAAGTCATCAAAAGTTTGACAGTTCCTTAAACACCTGGAGAGAGGGACAACAGCCGCAGGACGACTGTAAAACAGACGAATGAATAAACAAATGATGGAGAAACAGCGGCAGAGATGAGAGGATGTGAAGAGCGTAGGTGGCCTGGCCAAGACTTCCTCACAGTCACTCTTCTGACCGTGGGAGGATAAAAATCTGGAAATATACTTTGGCTCTTTTCGTTCTATTTTATCATCATCATCATCATCATCTCCCTCTTGCAGTCTTTCTCTTTCTCCTGCCTTTTTTTTTTACTTGCAGTTCTAGGACTGATACAATGGCCATGGCCATATTCTTGGAAGATAAATTAAGTCTCAATAACTGCACTCTTCTGCAGCTGCGCTCCTCATAATATCCTTTATTTTGTAGATATGGAGAGGCTCATCTCAACTGAATGATATATATGCACAGATCTGACAAAAAAGACTCATATTATTATTCCACTAAAATTTTAATAACTATATTAATTCATGCACATGAATGTCAGGGAAATTCCCTCTAAAAATCTGTGATAATATTAGCTAGTTTTGTGAATATATATAATTGTACATTTCATATTTATGAAACATTTATTTCCTTAAGTGAAGGCAATCACAACCGCCCCTCTGTTGGGCCATTTTTATTTTTATGCCCATAGGTGGCAGTACGCCACCACAAAAAGAGCTGAAAGCATATCTGCACCACATGGCAG